ATTTCCTTTTCCCTCTTCTATGGCTTTGCTAAATGCTTTGTTAGAAAGCTCAGGACCTCCATGCCTGGGGAGAGGAGCCAGAGGCTTCCTGCCATCCCAAGCATTCGAGATCTTGGGGAGTTTGGTTTGGACAGACATTGATGCCAAGCATCATGGCAGTGAGGAGGCCTGGATCACTGCAGGCATCGGGGTGTCTGCCAGTTCAGGAGAGACCCTGGGGAGAGCTGGCTCGTGCCTCTGCCCACTGCCATTGGGTGGAGAAGCTCCGTTATCCACCTGGCTGGTGGGTGCCATTCCTCCAAAATGTGGGATCCGGTGCCCTTCACTGGAGCAAGAGCAAATCCGGGTATCGGAGTGACTGGCACTGCCTTCCTCTCCCTGCATCAGGTGCCACCAGACCAAGAGTGAAGGAGCCGCTTGATTGCCAGCAAACTCTTCTGCTGGGTTTTTTTTTATGCTTCCCTAGAGGAGAAAATAATTTTCTTCCAGCTGCTGTTCCCCTGGTGTGGGAAGACGGAATGTGAAGCCTCGCCCGGGAGACATGGCAGCAGAATGCTCCCAACTGGAGGTAAAGAGTTAGAGATCTGATTTGGTGACCTCGGCGATGGAGGTAAATCATTTGATTAGATCACGTTAAAGTCACTGCTGTTTCCTTGCTTGATCAGATTTTGGGACGTACTTCCTGCGCAGTGCCGGGACAGGGATGTCCCTGCTGCCTACATCAGTCCTTTTCCTTACGCTCTGCCTCCTGGGACTTGGGCTCAAAGCAAGTGCAGGGAGCAAAACTAAGCGAAGTGTGTGGCATGAGCCTGTGAAAAATGAGCTTTTCTCTTCCATGGCGCAGAGGCTGAGAAGACGAGCTGGCCGCAGCCGGCAGCTAATGCCGCCTGTTAATAAATAACAATCTGTTTGCTTTGGTGTTGCGTCGCTCTGGGGCTGGACGTGGATGGAGAAGCACATGAAGCAAAACCTGCCACGGGCAGAGCGGTTAGAGGGCATGGAAATGCCGGGCCTTAATAGGATTTAACGTCGGTCCCTCCTCGGTGCTGCGCTTTCTTGCAGGCAGCGAGGCCTCTGGGTCATCCTGATCCCTGCAGGGATTAAGTGCCTTTTGGGAATGGTAAATCCTGAGGGATTTGGGGATCCTTTCTGGGGGATCCAGATTTGTTGCTGCCTGAGTTGCGGCACCCCTGGGGGCTCCTCATAGAGGGCTGGAGCAAAAAAAGCGCCAATGAGCTCATAGTTAAGGGCAAAACACACATAAATGGTGCTTTTGGTGACCGGGCAAAGGCAAGTGGCATGAGGCCATTGTTGTCTTTCACAGGAAGAAGCATTATTTGCATTTTAAACTTTATGCATGACCCTTTCTGGGTTTTTTCCTGAATTTTCCAGCCTTTCTGCTGGCACCTCGTCAGCTGAGTCACCACAGTTTGTGTTTTCCAGTGTCCATGCTGTCGCTGGAGCAGTTCCTGGTGAGGCCAGCGGCCTCTCTGCCAGGAGGCTGTGAGCATAAATTGGTAGAAAATTATCAGATGAAATACATTGAGTTACACAGGAGGTTGGGAAATACCCTCGTTATCACTCTTTGGATCTTAATCCGCTGAGCAATAATAAAGAGATTAATTACTAAGGTAGTTAACTCTGGCAATATTAGTGCAGGGTTTTAAAATGGCAGAAGGGGTTGGGATGTGAGTGGAGTCAAAGCGGGTCGTCGTTTGGGTAATAAATTTTAGTTCTCATTAGGGAAACGAGTTGAAGTCTTGTGCAGCCACTCTTCTCCTGGGGGGAGCTGAAGCACCGTGAGACAAGCTCTGGTTTCCATCTCATTTTGTCCTTTAATGCAATTATTTTTGGAGCAGACATTAAGGAAGGGGGATCCGGGATGCCATCGGGGATGCTCTGAATGGAAACCTGTGCAGTCTCCAGCCCGCTCTTTCTAAAAACAGATATTTGAAGACATGGGTTCACCTGAGCCAGGAGTCAGGCCCGCTTTGCTCGCTGGAGTCACCTGCCCAACCATGTGTAAATATGTATTTTATCAAACCTGTTTGCAGAAGGCGTCACCAGCGTAAAGCCCTGCTGCCAGCTGCAGAGCAGCTGAAAAACACGTGCTGTGCCACGGGATCGGTTTCAGCCCCCGTCTGCCACCCTGCTCTGCCAAAAAAAAAAGGCTTTTCCGACAAATTTGCAGGGTTTTTTGAAGGCGAATGCAAATATTTGCTGGTGAGCTGCAAGACAGAGCTCAAACATGATACTAATACTGACTTGCAGGCTTCGTTACTGCAAATGGGCAGGAGAGCAGCCTTTTGCAAAGGGGGAGAAGAGAAACGGGCTCTAAAAGCTAGCATGAAGATCCTTTTTAATTAAAACCCCTGATATCTAGTGAGGAAACTCCCTTAGAGGATCTCAGTCCCCTAAGGGTGCAGTGTTGGGGCAAAAATAAGAATGTTTTTCGTGGATCTGAATTTCAGAAGAGCGAGGTGGCCTCAGAGCGAAGCCCAAGCCTTGCCAGAAGAAGAACCGCTGCTCGGTGTTGGCATTTAACCTCCTTAAAGGCTTCACAAGAGCAAAACCAAGATCAAATCCCAACTGCTTCTACCAGCAGCCCCATCAAGGGTTATGGACCAGCTGGGTAATCTCGTGCCAGAAATGCTGCAGGGATTGCCAGTTACGGGGACACATGGAGCGGGTGCCAGGCTTGCCGGCATTCCGTGAGTGGTTGCACTCCGGGGGTAAACTCAGGGTGTTTTCCAGCACCCGGCAGATGTGGGAGCTCTGGGTGCTCACCCTGGAAGGTGGGAATGGACTCGGCTCTGGCAGCGAAGCCCGGAGGAGACTTGGGAGTAGCAAGTGAGAGGTTCCCGCTGGTGATCTGGATCCACTCCTGAGTGTTTAACCGTGGGGATGAAACCATCCCGGCATGTTCTTCGGGAATGGGGAGTTGCTCTGATCCTTGTGGACCGCAGCACCAGCACAGCTCTTGGCTGACACGAGACAGCGAGCTTCTCGGTGCACGCCTCTGTGTGAAGGAGGTTGGAAGCTTTGGAAGCAGCTCGAGAGGACAGTGAGACCTGATACTTTTTCCCGCTGGACTTCCAGCGAGGCTCGGCGAGCATCGTGAGGTGGGAACGGGGGTGTGCCAGGATGTGCATGGAGAGAAGCGGAAGCAAATCCCTGTCCTCCAGCAACAAGGGTTGTTAAAATTTAGGACTTCCACCCAGGAGAGGGCATATCAAAGCATTTTACTTCCGGGAACTAATAAAAACTAGATTAGCAAAGTGTGCTTGAGTTCAGATTTGGGGAGAAATCCATCAGCCAGCCGAGTCCACAGATGCTTGGTTCACCCCATGCCCTTGCGCTCCCAGGATGCTCATCTGCATGAGGATGCGTTCCCTAAATCACGCTTGATTTTTTTGAGGAAATAATTCACAGGGCAGATGGGATCAGAAATGTTGCAGTGTGCTGCTAATCCATCCCCTCGCTAACCTTAATATTTCTCTTTTTTTAGATGCAGGGCTCACTCAGCCTCGGTGGATTTTCCTCCGCGGTGCTTTTTTCAGCTTCCAGGGAATTGGCAACCCGAGGCGTGCCCATGTTGCTTCGGAGGAGCAAATGCTTTCTGTTGCGTGGGGCTTTTGGGGAGTGAAAGCTGTTCTTAGGTCTTGCCTAGTTAAGCACTCGCTTGGGCTGTGTTTAAACCTTTATTGCTTTGCTTGGCTGCGTGTTAATTGTCCCCGCAAACGTCGCCGTGGTGGCCTGGGAAGGGTCTTAGGGCTAAAAACTGCCAAAAAGGTGGTTTTGGGTGGTGCAGCCAAGCCGGGGTGTGGCATTGCCTCTGCCACATGCCACTCTGACCACGTCCTGCTGCGGAGATGCCTGATGGGTTTGTTGTGAGGAGGGAGAATATTACAAGGCGGGGGGGGGGGGGGGTTTGGTTTGTTGTTTTGGGTTTTTTTTTTTCAGCAGGTAGAGTGTTTAGGTCTTCATGGAGCTCTCTGGATGTTGTAATCCTCGGGGATGGGAGGGGGGGTTGCTTTGTGCTCTGCCAGGTGAGATTCCTGGTGAATCTGGTTTCTCCAGATCGTCTTCTGACCAGGGATGGCTTTAGCTTTTGTTCGGGCCGATCGCTGAACTGAAATCACGCCAAAAGCGGAGGTGGGCATTGCCTCACGTGGCTAATGATCCCGCAGCAGCTCCTGCCGCCCGCGTCGGCTTCCCCAGCATCCGGAGCGGCAGCATTACCCGTGATTCAGGGAAGGCAGAAGCGGTGAGTAAATGCCGCTTGGCTGCTTGGAGCTGAGCTCGGCGGCGCTGAGGCAGTGACGGCAGCAAGGTGCCCCTCCTGCGGCTTCCCCATGAGGAGCTGAATTTCGAGGGTGTATTTACCAGAGGATGATAACTCTGGGAGCTTTTAGCCCATGTCTCGCTAGCTCAGGCTGACCCCCGAGTTCTCTGCGTGCTGTCGCCGGAAGCCAATTAGGGAAAATCTGGGGTTATAACATGGGGGGGGATGTGCCCTGTCTGGCACCGTGCCCACATGGTGATAGCAAAGCGATCAAGTGAAAAAACAAACGTTGAGTGAAAGTAAAAGAAAGAGGAACGTATTTGACAGCGCTATTTATTAACCACTGCAGCAACCTGCTGAGGGGGGGTCAGCGTTTGTCATCCCAGGACTTTTTCAAAAAGCTTTTCTGCTCCCAAAAGAGCAGCTCTCATGCCAAAGCACAGCGAGAGGAGGCAGGAGGTGCCAGCTGCGCTTCTCCAGCACCTTCTCTGCCCGAGCAAGACAGGGCTTGCTCTTGTAGACGTGTTCAAGCGAGCCCTGCTCGCGTTTTCCTTTGTTCCATTGTGTTTGAACATCCTTGATTCTTGCAGTCTCCTTGCAGGCTCCTCTGGCGGGTGTAAATCCTGGCGGATAGCAGTGTCCAATGAGGGAACGTGGACGTGTTGATTCCGGCAAATACAACCATAACCTTAATTCTCACCCTCTACCTTTTCAGCCCAGAATGTGACTCTCGATGAAATCATGACCGCCTATAAGCAAGCCTGCCAGAAGCTGAATTGCAAGCAGATACCCAAAGTACTGAAGCAGATCCAGGTATAGCTGGTGCTGTCCCAGCACCAAATGATCATTATTTTGATATTATATGATATTATTGATCATTTTATTACACGACTCGCCGTAGACCTTTACAGTCGCTGGCATGTCAGACAGGAACGAAGACTCTTGTTTTAATAGCACGAGTGCATTGCTGGACAGATTAAATTTGCTGCAGAGAGCAAAAGTGAAGGAGCCTGCTAGAGAAATATTGTGTTTAATTTAATGTGCTACCAGACCCTGTTTTTCCCTGCTGAAGGTGTTCTCGGGCTGCTGTGCAGGGGTAACTCCAGCCTGGCTGGCAACAGTGGGTGCTGGAGGTGGGCTCCGACATCCCCGCTCCCAGCATGCCTTCAAGTCAGCGGACAAGACTTGAATGGGCTTGTTTGCAGAGCGGTTTATACCTCAGTTGTTATTTTAAATGGAAATCTGCGCACGCGGTCGGGGCAGGGAAGCCCACAGGGAGACCGCAACAAGAACTGTGGTTTTCCCTGTTCCCATGGGGTGGAGAAAAGTCCCGTTTAAATCCTGAGGCCTGAGAGCAGCATGCTGGAGCAGCATGTTTAAAGCTTTTCCTTTGGTCTGGGAGGGATGATTTTTGCTTTTTCACCCACGGTGTCTTCACCAGGCAGCTTTGGTGCCTTCGTGTGCCGAGGCAGACCCTCATCTTCATCAGCCACCCTTCCTCCTAGAGCTCCAGGACCTTATCCCAGGGAGGGTCACCAGGTCTGCCCATGACTTGCACAGACCCAGCCTGTAAAGCGCCCTAACTGGCAGCTTTGATTTAGAGCGAACCGTGGCCTGAGAGTTGCCATATCCTCTCCATTTTGCGGGAGGATTTGCCCAATTTGTCACCTTACCTCATTATTCTAGTGCATTAATTCCCCTCCTGTTCCCCCGCCCCAGCCCCACCTTCCTCCTCCTCCTGAGTATGAAATGGTGCCCTTCTTTTGCAGGAATTTAAAGACCTGGCTCCCAGGATAGACTGCTTAGATCTGAAAGGTAAGCCCCTTTTTCCATCACCAGGGGATTTTATTTCTCTTCTGGGCAATCCTAGTGTTTCATTCCATTGGCACGGCTCTTGCTGGAGTCGTGGTCCCAGTTGGGGCTCTTGCAGGCTAGAGCAGGAGAGAAATAAGTACCAGAGGTATTTGTGTGTGAGGAGCATTAACGTCCTGGTTGAGAAGCACCAAAACAGCAGTGGAGTAGCTTCGGCTACTCGAGCAGCAGACTGTTCCTGACCACCTTCGAGGTCCCTGCCTCCTGAAACAGCTCATTCGGTCCATGAGTTAGTGCTGGGCCGGAGCAGGTTTGCTGGGATAATTTTCCATTTGATATCTTGAAACTCCTCACGCAACGGGAAAACTGGAAAGGTGTTCCAGTTAATTCTCCTTACAGCAAACATCTTTGTGAATGATGGGTTTTGTGGAGCATCTCCCATAGGTCCAGGAAGGAGAGGAAGAAGGTTGCCTTCGCTTCCCTGCAAGGTCTCTGCTAGGCAAATATTTCACAGTGGATTCTTCTTGCAGCAGGTCACAGTCTCTCTCCTGCCTTCTGCTGGTCTCCGTCCCTTCCTAAAGAGCCTCTTCTCCCACTCTGCGCTGGGGGTTGCCTCCCAAAAACAACTTGGGAGACCAGCAGCAAGGGCAGCTGCGTAGCAGGGATGCTCTACAGCGCAGCGGGGAGAAGATGGGTCAGTGTCGGCCAGAGCGTCCTTCCTTCGTGGAGTGATGGTGTTGGTATTGTTCCTCTCAGCCCTGGGTCATCCTGGCAGCGTCTGCCTCCTGCTGAGGTCCTGCCTGAGCTATCCCAATTTCCCACGAAACTTGGCGGGTGCGCAAGTGGGTGGATTTTGCTCCAGCAAACTCCAGCTTGGCTCTGGGGACAGAAGCCATCTGGGGGGGCTGCTGTGGTGGGGTTTAATCTGTAGCACTCGATGCCCGTTGTCACTTACTTAGTGTTGGGGGTGAAACCCGAAGGCTGTGGAACCACTCGGGAGCTGCTGTTAACAAACCCAAAAAACTACCTCGCTGGCGAGGCCGGGGCGTGTGGCTGATTTGCCTGGAGGGGGACAGACATGTTGCCGGAGGAGCAACAACACGAGCTCGCCCAAACACCCCCCGCAAAATAAAACCTTTTACAAGCCCCATTGCCATCATTTGGACTCAACTTTGCCAGACAGGATTTTTTTTCTTAACTTCTTACAAATCCTGCAGTTGTCGGCTGGCTGGGCCGCTGGAGCCCACATCCCCCTTCCCCTAGAAGTGGCGGTTTCTCAGAAGACCGCAAGCGAGGCAGAAGCCTGGCTGCTGGTTGCTTTATGCCGTTACACACACCATAGCCCCGGCACAGCCCAGGCTCAGCCTTCAGCGAGGGGTTCGTAGTCCCCCTCCATAGCACTTGTTTTGCGTGACTCTCCTCCACCCGGCATGCAGCTGCCTCTCCACTGCACTGGATCCCGGATCCCCCTCACAGTGGTTCTTACAACAGGAATAAAGCTCTGGGTTTATTTTAAGCTGCATTCCACCTTTTTCACTCGGGCTGGTGTCAGACATGGCCTCCTCCCACGTCGAGACATCAGGGAGCTGACGAGGGACCACAGCTCGCCCTGGTATTGAGTGAATTCCCAGTGTTGTGGGGTGAGACTGGCCCATGGCTTGGCTCTGGTGTGGAAAGGGAAATCTATTCGGGAAGCAGAGGCTGGTTCCCCATCGCTGTTGCCTTCGCTGATGAGGCTCTACCAGCTGGGGGGGCTGCCGGAGATTCTGATGGGCTACCATTTGCTGCTGCATTTTCAGCTTTCAGTGTTTCAGAGGGGATCGGTGGGGTTGCAGCACGGAGGTGATGGTGCAGCAGATCTGGCTGCCATCGCCTCGTTCTTTGTGCAGGGGACGGGATCTGCTGGTGTTAGGAGGAAAGGCAGAGCTTCCACCTCCACATTTGCAGGTCATCCCCTCCCCAAATCCCGTTTGCCTGGCAGAATCGCCCGCTGGCAATCGATGTGGCATCTAAAAGCAGCCGGCACAGATGCTTTATCGGGGAGAACCCTGTGTTTTTCAACCAGAAGTGGCTTGTGCAGTGATACAGAGGGAGTTGCAGCCCTGTAAGCCAGTAGGGATGAGCTATCATGGCCTGCCTGCAGGCTGGCGAGCACCTCGGGCCTCAGAGACTTGCTGCTGCGCAGGGCTGGTGTGAGGATGGTCCTAGAAATAAGAAAATAAGTAAGTAAATAAAAAGCCCAAAGTCTTGGGAAACGTTCTTGAGGCAGCTTGTGCCAGCACTTCTGTAAATTGAAATGTGAATAATTTAATTTGTTAGGGGTAGCAAAACAGTATCTGTTTACAGTGTGTGTGCACAGATTTAATTTTAACCCTGTGGTGCTTTTATACAGCAAAAGGAGTAATCAGCTGGCTGTTAGTTTGTCAGCAGAAATGCTTGTAACATAATTCCAGGTGGACTGAAGCTGGCAAGGGGCTGGCTCGGGAAGAAGGCTGTCTGCCCAGCAGGGAGACAGAAATTCTAGTTTCCTGTGACTTTTAGGTGGCGAAAGCATTGCTGCTGTGGCTGATCCGTGTTGGGTCAGCAACCGCACTGGTTTTCCAAAAATCCTCTGAGCTCGCTGTGTGTAACCGAGCAAGAGACATCCTTTCCAAAGTCTCCCTGTGGATCCCTCTCCCAGCTTGTGACGCTGCTGGGGAGCCCTGGCATGGCTTTTGGGGCTCCCTGCGATGGCCAGTCCCCATCTGTTAATGAGAAATACTCATCTGAGGTGATGTTTTCTGCTGCTGGGCCAGGCCCACATGAAAAAATCAATGTGAATGCCCAGTATTGGGCTTGAATTTCCCTTCGGGCAGGTTGTGTGAAAGGCGGGCTGCCTCCAAACGGGGGAGAAAGTTGCCTTTCCACACATCCTCTGTCCTGCAGCTTGGGGCTCTCGACCTGATGGCTGTACATGCTCTGCGTGTTGCATGCTGAGGCACCTAAATTGACCTTATTCTGCTCCTTCCCCAGGGGAGAAACTGGATTACAAAGCCTGCGAGGCGCTGGAAGAAGTTTTCAAGAGGGTCCAGTTCAAAACTGTTGATTTGGAGCAAACGAGCTTGGATGAAGACGTAAGTGGCCATGACCTCTCCCAGCTTCTCGTTCCTGTTTCGCAGCTCACACAAACCACGTGTTTTGTGGTCAGTCCTTAGCTCCTCCTGGGCACTGACTTATTTTTTGCGGGCTGTACTGCGTGGCTGTACCCGCCTCTTCATACCCACACTCTTATTTAGGTCTGCTAGTGCAGCGTCTGCTGCTCCAAAAGGAAGAGGTTGACTGCTCACTTTGAAGCCTGCATGGCCATGAAGCTCCGAAGCGTTTTAAATAGATATTTTAAAAGCTGTTCTGAATGCTGAGGGGATTGCGGGTAGCTCTCAGATGGCTTCCTGGGGCTGAGGATAAAGTTCAGGCTCCCTTCTGCACGTCCCATCCCAGCATGCCTTCCTCCTCCCTAACAGTGCCTGGGGCCATGAGTTCGAGTCCCAGCAGGTAAGTGGAGGAGGCTAAAAATTAAGGAAAATTAAGGAATTAATCATTCTAGCCATCTCTGATCCCAAGTTCCACTTGCCCCAGAGCATCCCCTTTTCAGTCCTTGCATCTTCAAGGATGTTGTTTTTCCTGCATCGTCCATCCCTGTCCCAAACTTGGCTTCAGACCTGTCTTGTCTGTGTCTGCTTGGAAGCTCTTGATGCTTTTTTTTTTCCCCCCCATCTTTTTTCCCTCAAGCAGCACTTTGGGAAGATTCAGCAGCCACGAGCTTCTCGGGGCCCCTGCCCACATCCAATACAAAGTGGGGAAAAATGTGACTTGGATCCCGTGATGGCGCTGGCTCTGAGCTGCGGCGGTTTCTCGCTGACCCCATTCCATCCTGGGGCTATGCTGACGCAGCCAGTCCGGATCCCGCCTGACTTGGGCACTGGGGGCATGATCCTGCGGGGCTGCCTGGGGGGGCCATGGCCACAGGACAGGGCCATTTGGGGGATGGATGAGTCCCCTGACGATGCCACAGCCTGGTGAGGGACCTGTGGCTGCAGAGCAGGGATGGGCTGGCTGAGCTCGTGACACCTTTGGCTGTAAAATGATCCTGTACTTCGTTTCACTCGTTATCTTGCAGGAGGAACAATTATATGTTAATAATTTAAACATATCACGTGGCTTCAGAGCTGCACGATGTGAGCAGAGAGATTGCAGACCTCAGTGCTTTATGCTTTTCCTCTTCCAGTTGCATTGAGCAAGACCGTCTACCAGGGCACAAGGTGACCGACGTGTCTCCGTGTCTGCTGCCGGGGAAGACAGCCACAGAGGGTTAACCCCAGCCCCGAGACCTCCCGCTCCTGTCCCCATCCCTCCAATTCATCAGCATCAGCAGCCTTTTTCACCCAGCTGCGTCACGCTGGGGACTTAGTCACCCAGTAGTCAGATTCTTCTCCCTCTCATTTCCTGCCGATGAGCATCCCATTTCCAGCAGAAAGTCCTGTTGTTCCCTGAAGACCTGTTCTTTCTCTTGTTTGCCTTCATGCTGCTATTTTCCAGTCCTCCAGGTCTCTCTGCATATTTTTCCTGGAAGCCTTGCAGCACTTTTGTGGCTCTTCTCTGCCTGCTCCAGCATATGTTTCAGATAATTTTCTCCGAAGAGGCTCATTATGTCATTAAGCAAATTGTTCCGCTTCTGCTCTAGGAGCTTTAGACATTTCACAGGCGCGAGTCCTGCTCTGCTTTCACTCCTAACCCTGCTATAAATCTTGGGGTTTATACCTTTTTTTTTTTTTTTCACTCTGATTGGATTATCAGGTGGTTTCTTGGCTGGAGAAGTGTTGCTGCTGCCTGCGGACCTGGATAACCCTGCAGGGAGCAAACAAGGTGCCGAGCTGATAGCCCAGTCTCAGCTCAGGTTGAATATCCATGGGCGGGGGAGGGGAACCAACCAACCACATTTTCCAGTGTCCTTGGAAGTGTCATTTGAGTGCCTGTGCATCCCTAGTGCCATAACCTGCTCTGGACGAGTTCGCTTTCTCTCCTGGTGCCAAGAGGTGCAGGGTGGGGGTTGAATCCCTCAGCAGGGTGCCATCTCAGGCTCGCTCGTGGAAATCTTTCCCTGCAGGCTTTACCTCAGCAGGCAGGCAGCTCCGACAAAGCGCCTCCGACAACACAGCCTGTGGCAGGAATGGCTGCACTGGAGCCGTCATCCCGTCCCAGGCCGTGCCGGGTCCCTGTCTGCCCCAGTGGTGGTCCCGACGGTGGGGACACTGGGAATATGGCAAGATGCATTTTTTTTTTTTTAAAACACTGCTGGAGCATCCATGGGCAGCAAATCTTCAGCAAACCTCTTTTTTTTATTTCTCCCCGCCCTGAAACCCCACACAGCCATTGCCCACCAGCTTAACATAGCTTTTCTGTGCTTGTTTTGCAGGGTGCCTCGGCGTTATTTGACATGATTGAGTATTACGAGTCAGCGACGCACCTCAACATCTCCTTTAACAAACACATCGGCACTCGAGGCTGGCAGGCAGCTGCCCACATGATGAGGAAGGTTTGTGCTCGCTTGTGAATGTTTTTGGCCCGTGCTTTAACTCCCTGAGGCTACATCGGTGGTCTCTCGAAAGAGTCCTGCATGCTTCCCGAGACCATAGGTGTAGTTTTCTGCTCACCTGTCCAGAAGACCACCCAGGTCAGAGCAACCTGGTTAGCCCAGACTCAGAGACAGGGGGTTAAAAAAAAAAATCACCCTTCCCACCTGCCCTGAGGTTGCTTAATGCCTCAGTGAGCACCCGGAGCAGAGAAAATGGAAATACAGATCCTAGCAAGGAAAAAGAGCAGGCTGTTATTAGTGGCATGCTTGCAGGGTCAGCTTCTCGAGCTGGGTATTCATTATCTTTACAGCAGGATGACTAGTGCCAGTGTTTGGCTTTGCAGGGCTAATTAACCTCATTGTTCAGCACTTGAGTTCACTCTGAAAGCTGAGCACAGAGGAGGCAGCGTCTCATGCTCCCCGCTCAGGGCGTGGTGCAAACCACCCTCGATCTGCAATTACCTCTCGACCTGCTAATTTTCATTTTGGCACTGCCAACGTTTCGCCCAGCACCCACTGCATTGCACAACTCCAGTTGGAAAACCTGCGTCCCGGTAGCATTCCCTGCCATGCAGCCCTTGGCGGTGGGGCTGCTATCAGGAACTGGAGCTTGCACGGTTCAGGCAATGCCTGCCCCGTGTTTTCGAGAGGCCAAATAACACCACGCGGTGCTGGCTGACCCCATAGTTGGGGGGTGCTTTAAAACTGTCTGCCTGTACACGGGTGCGGTGAAGGAGCTTGAGACACCTTTGGGATGTCTGTGGCCCTTGGTGCTCTTAATTTCTGGGTAGGCAAAGGAGAATCCAGAGGTGTAAAAGGGCTTAAGTTAGCATGGAAGATGGTAAATCAGAAGCCATTGGCATGCTTTGGATCTCGAGCAGGAATAGATGGCGTGTGTGAAGCCGGGGAGGGATCTTAGGGCTTGGAGGCAACTCCCAGACAAGAGGCGCATGGCTTGACACCTTCCCAGACCCTGGATTTGGAAAGCTCAGGGCAGCACATACTTGGATGTGTAAGGACGAGGGAAGCTTTTCTTTGAAGAACGTGGTGTCGCTGCGGTCACCTGAAGTGCATCTTCCCCGGTGCCATAGCTTGAGGGTGATGGCAGACTCAGTGTGGAGGCGATTCTCTGGGAGACAAGGTGTTTATCTGGAATTGTGTGATTTGAATGTGGAGCTCAGTGCGGGCTGTCCCAGCACACAGGGTTATCTGAGAGGTTCCTTCTGGCTCTTTGCCTCTTATCTGAAGCCTGTGGGGTGACCAAAACGATGTTTCAGGTGGGCGTTAAGTCATGCCAGGAGTTCTTATCTGAGCTGCCCGGCTGCAGCACTGGTGACCAGGATGGGATTTGGCCTGTAAAATAGCTTGGCCTTAAACCCAGTCTATAAAAACAGCCAAAAAATCAGCAGCAGAGGCTGTGCAGGGCCAAGTGTTGATCCCTTTCATGTCTTCCTTGCAGACAAACTGCCTGCAGTACCTGGACGCCCGAAACACGCCCTTGCTGGACCACTCGGCGCCCTTCGTGGCGCGTGCCCTGCGCATCAGCAGCAGCCTGGTCGTCCTGCACCTGGAGAACACCAGCCTCTCGGGACGCCCACTCATGCTGCTGGGTGAGTCACCGGAGAGTGGGCACTGATTTCAGGCACCCACAGTGCCTGCCCGTGTCCCAAAACACGGCGGGATGCCGGGTGCACGGGGCAGAGCAGTGCCAACACCGGGCTCGCCATCCTGGCAACGCACAGCAAAGTCTCGGGGTAGTCGCTGCCTGCGTGCCCGTGCTGACGCATGACAGCGCCTGTGTCTGTCCCAGGTGGGAAGTCGGGTGTTTCTGTGCCAGCCCAGCCTGTGGGCAGTGGGTGTAAGACAGTGCTGGGCGGCCCCCGTTGTTAAGCTAATGAATTAGCGATAACTCATGGCGGTGTTGTGATAGCAGGGATGAGCTAAGGGTTCTGGCGGGGGAGCGCGTCTGGGGTTTAATTGTTCGCTAGGTTAGCCTAGCTGGAAAAAGGTGATGTGCTGGTGACAGCACGTGCCCTGCGTGAATTGATACCAGCTCTGGCCATGTGCAGCCCCTTCATGCCGGAACAAGCCACCGTCGCTTCCCTCTGTGGAAAGGGAGGGCAAAAAGGGGCTTGTGCAGGGCCCTGCTGCTGCCAAACAGCTCAGACATCCAGCCGGTGTCCCGGCTGTGACCACGGTGGGTGCCAGTGCAGCCGCAAGCGTGTGCTGGGGGCTGCACGCTCTCAGCCGCTGCCTGCGGCATCACTTTGGGCTCGGACGGGCACAAGCGCTTATAACAGCGCTGCCGGGATGCTTCCGAGCCCGCGCGTTCTGTGGAGGCCCTGACTACTGGTGAGTAACCATGCAGGCATGCCGGCCAGCAGCGCCTCTTCTCAAGCTGTCCCGGTGTGGGATGCATATCGAGGTGCTGGTTTTTTGCTTTTTCAGCCACGGCTCTGAAGATGAATGTAAACCTGCGGGAGCTGTACCTGGCCGATAACAAGCTGAACGGGCTGCAGGACTCTGCTCAGCTTGGCAACCTGCTGAAATTCAACTGCTACATCCAGATACTCGACCTGAGGAACAACCACATCCTGGACTCGGGTGAGGCCCCTCGCTGCTCCTTCAGGCAGAGCCCCAATTCCCTGGATTTTTGACCCAGTTTTAAGGTGGTGAGGAACTCAGCTGTGGGGTGCAGAGCTCGAGGGGCTGCCAAGGGCGGCTCCCAAGCTGAGATGAAGCAGGAGTGGTGCACAGAGCAGCTTCAACATGTCAAAAGGATTTTGTCAGGGTAAACCTCCTTTTTTTTTTTGTAGCTAAGATCGTTAGAGAAACTTTGATTGCTTCCTGGGCTGGGCTGCAAGGTGCATGGCAGCTCCTGAAGGCAGGAGAGGTGGGGATGCCTCTTGCCTTGGAGTCGCGTCTTTCGGCTCCTTCCATCTCTTGCTCCCATCTGGTTTTTCTCCTCTCTGCTCCCTGGAGCCAAATGAGCGGCCAAATCTAATATCAACCCAGGAATTGCAAAACCATCGCCACCCGGACTTCAGTCCCGGCAGGTTCTCGTCAGCGATGCTGATTACTCGGCCGAGTGCCGTGGTTTGATCAAGGAGCTGCGCTTGCTCCGCACCAGCTGTCCCGGCTGCCTTTGCGTTGGGTATAAAGGTAGCCAAGCATGACCGAGTCGGATGTCACTGGTGCTGTTGTGGCCACCCGTGCTCCCAGACGGGTCCCACCCTAAAGTGCAAATATTAATTTGCCGCCTTCCAGGTCAGCTGCCACGTCCCTCGCATCTTTGGGTGCTTAATAACGAGCGGCGCTGGACCTGTACGTGTCGGAAGTCCCTTGCTGGGCGTTGCTGTGTGTTTCCACAGCATTGCTGGCGTTGAGCTGCTGTGCACTTATCAAATAAGTATGTTTGCAGCAATTTAACATGGTGCCTGCCATCAGCTTGGGCAGGGTTGGGCCAGGAGGGTGTATGGAGAACGGTGGAGGATTCGCCTCTGCAAACTGCTCCGTGAGCCCATGTCTGGCGAAGGAGGAGGACGGTGACCCAAAGGAAGGAGTGCCCGCACAGCCTCCAGCCTCTGCCGGCCACCGGGTGCCACCCTGCGTCCCCCCGGTGCTGCGGGCAGGCGGAGGAGTGGGCAGGGGGTCACCCTGAGCCCACGGCCAACCCCAAGCGCCCCATGTCCCCACACCTCTGGGTCCCTCCCCGTTTTGCACCCTACTCCAAAGGCTCCAGCTAGCCCTAATTAATTTTATGTGCTGAGAGGTTTAATTGCCTGCTTGCACACACGGGAGTGATTGTGCTTTGCCTGCAGCTGAGCTCAAATCAAGCAGCCGGGGGAAGGGGTTTGGAGAGAGGACGGTGTTTGGAGACACCGCCAGCACCGCAGCCTGGCTTAATGATGCCATGGCTTTTCTCCATCACTGCCCGGGCGCCGTCATCCTGCCTGTCCATCCTACCCAGGATCGGGCAGTGCCTGAGCAGAGGGATGGATCAGAGGAAGCAAGCAAAGCGCTGTCGGAGCCGGCTGACCCCCAGCTGTTTTGCAGGCTTGGCATACATCTGTGAAGGGCTGAAGGAGCAGCAGAAAGGGCTGGTCACTCTGGTTTTGTGGAACAACCAGCTGACTCACACCGGCATGGCCTATCTGGGGATGACACTGGTGAGTAGATCTCGGCACCTTCCTGGAGGTGATGGCTTACCAACGGGTGTTCGGCTTTGCTCCTGGAGAGATGTCTCTCCCATGACCGCCGGGGCCAGATCCGGGCAGTGGTGGGAGCTACTGGCCAAGCGGGTCAGGATGCCATGCCCCTGGTGCTGCATCAGAGGAGAACCTGTCCCTTGTCCCCCTGCGCTGCTGCTCAGGTGTCCCTGGGCTCGGCAGTGTGACTAGAGGAAGAGCCACGAATTAAAGCTGCTTAGGCTTGAGACAGATGCACCGTCCCGTCCGCCTCGAGCTGTTTTTCCCCTGGGTACTTGCAGCCTCACACACAGAGCCTGGAGACCTTGAACCTGGGCCACAATCCCATCGGGAATGAAGGTGTCCGCAACCTGAAGACTGGGCTGATCGGGAACCGCTCCGTCCTTCGCCTGGGCTTGGCGTCCACCAAACTGACCTGTGAAGGTGGGTGGAGGCCGGTGCCCACTGGCTGTGCCAACCGTGGCCCCGGTTCGGCTGGCAGCTTGCCCGCCAAAAGCTCTGTATTCCCTGCAGAGCTTCCCTTGCTCTAGAGCAGCACGTGGGGCCCGCTCTGGTCCTTGAAAAGGTGTCTCAATCTGGCTCAGCTCAGCCCTGCGACTGCGTGGAGTCCCTGGGGGGGACGCGGCCCAACTCTAACCAAAACACTCTAGTTGGCCTCTCCAAGGCCACCTTGTCCTGTGGGTTTGGTGCCTCAGGCATCTTCTATGCCCCGTGGAAACCTTTTTGCTCAGCATGCAGGGTGCCTGGGAGCCAGCACCCAACTTCTGCTGATGTCCCTCGTCCTTCCCAAAATACTGAGCTCTGCTAGATGCTGCCCTGAGGAGCACCATCAGGGGACCGGCAGTGTCACGGCTTGTTCCCTGCTGTCACCAGTGCCTCTCCCGTTCCTTGCAGGTGCTGTGGCAGTGGCGGAGTTCATCGCAGAGAGCCCACGGCTGCTTCGCCTGGACTTGCGAGAGAACGAGATCAAGACGGGCGGCCTCATGGCATTGTCACTGGCTCTGAAGGTCAACCACTCGCTGCTGCGCCTCGACTTGGACAGGGAGCCCAAGAAGGAGTCGGTAGGTAAAGCACCCACTCACCCACCCCTCTCTTGCCCTTTGGGGATTCTCGTTGAGCCCCCAGGCAGGAAAACACCATCCTTGAGGGTGACGCCTCCAGGCTTCTGCTCAGTTCTGCCGCTTTCCCGTTTCTCGGCTGAAATTAATTCCTGCCCAGCCTACAGCCACGTGGTTTTGTGCGAAGCCTGGCCTGTAAGATAACAGCTGCTTGCCGGCCAGCAGCCCTGCGCTGGGATGCTGAACACACTCTGACACCACCACTCGGGTCGGGGGCATTTCTGGAGGTCCCAGACAGCAACCATCACTCAGGGTCCTGCTCTGTTTGAGCATCCCCTGGGACAGGAATCCCACGATCCTGGTGGTGATTGCTTTAAGGAGAAGCCCTTGGGGAACTCAGTTCTCAGGCGATTTAATTGGTTTTGGGGAAACGTCAGTCATGTCTTACAGGGGTGGGGGAAGAAAAACACCCTGTTACGGTGTGCCTGGATGGAAAATAAACGTGGAGCCGATTGTTCCCAGACTGCTCATTTCTGAATGTTCCAAATGAGCGACAGTTTCTCTTCCCTCCCAGGTAAAAAGCTTCATCGAAACCCAGAAGGCTCTCCTGGCCGAGATCCAGAATGGCTGCAAGCGCAACTTTATTCTGGCCAAAGAGAAGGAGGAGAAGGAGCAGAAGCTGCAGCAGTCAGCCTCGATGCCGGAGATCAATGTGACGGAGCCTCTGGAGGAGGGTCCAGCAGAAGACAGCCAAGACGGCAGCGCCACCTCTGCTCCAGAAGAGGGGGAAGAAGCTGGAGAGACCCTGACAGCCTCGGAGAATGGGGACACAGAGCCAGCAGAGGACGACGATGATGATAGAGGCGACGTGACAGACTCCGATTCGGACACGGAGGAGGAGGCAGACACTGCTTTAGCGACAAAGGACTTGAGCGAACCGCTGAAACACCCTGACTCCGCCGACGGCACTACTGTGCCCCAGGCGCTGCTGTCCCCGGAGAAGCTGAGGGACCACCCGCCCCCTCTGCGCATCGCAGAGGAATCACAGTGTGATGCCAGCACAGGGAGTCCTGCCGCCTCTCCAGCCTCTGCATCCTCCCAGGGAAATGAGAGAAGGATTTCGGTTTCCAGTCCCGGGCGAGGCCATAAAATCTTTGTGGTGACGCGAGTGGAGAGTCTGCCAGAGCGAGCTGCTGATGCCATGCACCCACGGGAGGATGCGGATGCCACCGTGAAACCCACTGAGCCCCAGAGCCTGGCTCTGGCCACAAAACCTGAACTCCTGGCACCCCAGGTGGATGCAGTGGTTCCCGAATCCACTGCCAGCTTGGCAACGGTGCCGGCAGCACCGAGCACCAGCTCCGACCCCAAGTGGGACGACCCCACGGCCTGCGAGAGTGCAGCTCATGACACTCCCCTCCTCAATGGACTGAAGACGGATTTCGCGCGAGCGCTGCCAGAGGCGTCCTCGGACAGTGACGAGAAAATGGGGAGCTGCGCTGCTGAGCAGGGTAAGAGCTCCAGAACAGAGTCCCGCAATCCTTGAGGGTCCTGAGCCCACCTCTGGCCACTCTCCCCCAAAATAGCTGCAGGGCAGCATGGTGGAGCCCAGGATGAGTGCGGAGCCGTTCCCTGTGCCAGTGTCTTTCCAGGGTTTTAAATTCCCTGCTGTTTTTCTGATGGGATGCCCATGCGTGCAGTAATTTTGTTGCTGGGGAAAAGGGCGGGGGTTTAACCCAAAGTGAATCTCCCTGCATGTTCTTTGAAGCGCTCCTTTATTAGGCTTCCCAGTGAGCTGAAGTTAATGCCCTGCGGGAAGCTCGTTGAGCCTCTTTGTTAGTGGTCAGGCTACCATGTTGCATTTCCCCCGCGCACATTTGAGGGGCGGGTGGAACTAGGAAGGCAGATGGGCAAAGGGAACGGCGTCCATTTGCTTGCAGAGCTGGGCCACTCCAAGAACGAGCGGGAGCTGGAGGAGCTGCTCCTCGAGGCCAGCCAGGACGCAGGGCAGGAGCCGCTGTGACCACAGGTGAGCAGGGACAGGGGCTGAGGACAGCCCTGGGAGCATCCTGGGGGGGCGGGGACCCCGTTGGCACTCTCCTCCTCTCTCGCAGGTCCTCAGGGCCATTCGGCACCAAGGGGAGGCCCTGGCATAGCTTTATTCTCTTCCCACTCCAGACAATGATTAAGGAACCAACCTTGGGCTCCAGGACAAAGGGTTATTTTAAAATTCTTTTTTCCCCAAACAGTTTCCTGCCCCTGGACTCTCTTCCCCAGGCATCGGATTTGCCTCCCCTGCGCAGAGGGACCCTTCCGTGTCCCCAGGGCGATGGAAGGAAGGAGAGCACAGAAAAATGACCCAGACAGGGACGTCCCAGCTCCCAGCCATCCCTGCCCTCGCTGGACGCTACCTGACACCTTTGCCTTTTCTTTTTCTATCTTTTTCTGAGGAGGAAATACTGTGCTGGGGCGAGGGCAGCACGGCATCGGTCCCACAGGGAGATTAAAACCACACACTACAGGGACTGAGGCGCTGGCGGCACGTGCTGGGAGAAGCATGAAGGGCTGTGTGGCCGTGCTGCTGTCGCCCACGAAAAAAATCCCAAGGACGGGCTGCGTCCGCAGCCACAATGGTTATTTATTTTTAGTTCCCTTTTTGGTTCATTTGTTTGTTTGTTTTTGGTATATATTTATCATCAGCTGCAAAGTTACTGGGTGGGGAGTTAGAGGATGGTGTTAGAATCAATGAATTCCTTCTGGGCGAACCTGCAACTGAAATCCTGCTCCTGGGCTGCCAGAAAAAAAAAAACAGAAACACAAAAATTGGTGGAACACCCCCGCCTTCCCTGCAAACCCCCCCAGGGGCTGCTCCGGCTTCCAGCGGGGCCGGGGAGCTGTCAGGCCATGAGCCGCTTACCGTGCCGGCATGGCTGGCTGCAAGTGTCTTCCCGCCGAGGTGAGAAAACCCCCATTTGCCGGTGTGGGGTGGAAATCCAAGGTGGGAACGCATCGCGATGGCAGGAGCTGCTTCCCGGCTAGACGCACGACCCTTGACATCCTCCATCCTGGGTTCCCAGCCCAGGGATCCCTGGGGAAAACCGACGAGTGAGGGGCTGCAGCAGCCCCAGCGGGGGGTGGGTGTCTGCTGGCCCTGACCCCTGAGCTGCCCCCATCTCCCTGCACTCCCCAGGGACCGCCGAGCCCCTCCGGGCCCAGCGGCCGATTTTCTCAGGGAGGG